ATTTTTGTTAAATAGGTGTTTAGTATTTTGTTGTAATAAGAAAAAGATGTCAATGACAAAATATATTCTACGTTGAATTAAAGGTTTTTTATTGTTTATACAACAATGTGCAACTAGAAATTTAATTTATCATTTTTCAATTTTGATAAATATTTGCTATGCATTTACAACATCACAATGATTTGGGTCTATTTAAAATAGTTTACAGCGCTCAGACAATAAAAAATGCTCTCCAATATGGTGAAATCGCTCGGATTGATGAAGTAATAAAAAGAAACTCGATTTATCCCAAAGTTATTTCAGACGCAGTTAGATGTCTTATAGTTGTGCATTGAATAATTTTAATTATATTCATATGATTTTTATTTATGGATTAATTTTAATTACATTTATGTCAACTAAGAGAGGTACATTAATGCAAATAAAATTTTATCAATTATTAGAGCATCTCCAATGCTCAAATATTGTTGAGGTAAATTATATTTTACATCAACATATTTAGCAATGTCACAACTATTCATCCTCCAATGCACAATGTGATCACAAATATTGTGATGAAGTGGACATAATTAATGTATGCAATGTAGAGAAAAATATAGTTCATCCACACATTCCTCCACACTCTAGTTAGCCAATGAAGAGAATAGAGAGAGAATTATTCTTACCAATTCCAAACTATTTAATTATTTAATTAACATTCTTACTGCATATTATTAAATATTAATATTTAGTAAGTAGATAGTATTATAGTTAGACTACATTGTGTTAGAGATAATTTTTTAATTTCATAGTTGTAAACTTACCATTTTTCTATATGGTTCACAATCCATTTAATTTATTGACATTTGTTAAAAGTTATTCTATAACAAAATTAGAGCATTGGATGCAGAGGCGGATCCCGTGTGGGTCAGCTTAGGCAATTGTATAGACTCAATTTTTTGTGCTAACTACACATAGTTTACATGTGTTAATCAATAATGTAATTTAATATTTGTAAAAATATAAATACAAGTTTTTATTTTAAAATTTTAAATAATTCATACAAAGTAACATTATTTTTTTAATTTAAAAAGATACACTTCACCTGTCAGATTCGAAGATATTATATTATAATATTTTTAGTACTTATACCATATGATAGGCTTGATAGATAAATATATTGTTTTTTCAATTATAATTGATAAATATTAAAATTTTATTGATAGAGATCAGATAGATATAATTATTTTAATTTATATATATGTGATGAATGTTAAATTATATATCGTCAAAATATGACTTATTTAATTCATCATATATAAAATTTTTTAATATATATAATGTTATTAACTTTTAAAATATATTTACAATTTAAATTACCCAAGCGTTTAATTGAAAGTTTTAGATAAAGATCCATATCTATATGGACTATTTCGAATCTTTAGAAATTAACATATAGAATTACAAAGCGTTGGAAATTAACAATGAAAAACTTTACATTTATATAAAAGAAGATAATCCACCAGGAAATCTTTATAAAATAACAAGAACAAAAATGATGTTATTTAGGCCTTTTTTAAATTAATAATTTATATTTCAAAAAGACTTGTTTATTTCTTATTACAAAAAAAAAAATAAAGAAAAAAATATTGTAAAATATTTTTGATATGTTTCTTAATAATAATAAAAACGCAAAATAAAATAACCCGACCCCAATTTCAATTTCATTTTTTAACATCAAAGTCATAAACAAAATGAATAGAGAACCCCTCAACACCCGATTATTCCAACGATTTATTTAATTGTTATTAATAGTACTTTGTGCAATATAGTTAATAAAATTTTGAACTATTTTTTGTACTGGTTCATAAAAATTTATGGATCTGCGCTGCTGATTGGATGTGATATTTCTTCTAACATTCACCTAAGAAATATTTTGATCTAATGTTGTGGTGTAGATGTGGCAACTTTCAGAACATGTAAGAGTTATTTATTTTTGGTCGGTTTCATCTAAACATTTAAATTGATGAGATCGTAATATAAAAACATTTATTTATTTATTATTTATAAATGTTTGCTCCAAAAGAGGTACACCTGGCGTGGTGGACTATTTGACCAATTCCAATGAATCACCTCAATGATAAATCTATATATATATAATTGTTGACATAACAATAATTAAAACCTCTATATGTTTCTCGTTCTTTTTTTAATTAATGTAGAACAGTTACATTATACATTAATAAAGTGCAATAATAATTTAGACTAATTTATTATGTAATAATTATTACTAACATTTGTTCATGTGTAATTTTACACCATATTTATTGAGTAATTAGAACTTAGTCATTGCGTTATTAGTGTATAAATTGCATATTTGTGCTTTAATTCTCTATTTGTTGGAAAGGTATTACACGTGCTTGTTTTGTAGATAGTTCCACATATTTGTAGAGCTTTTGGCCATTAAAGGCGCATGGTGAGTACCTAGGACACTCGGGATGATGATAGATTGATGCACGGATGAGAAAATTGGAAGAAACGAGTGAAACGGACAAAAACGAGCGAGCTGAATTGTGACACGGGCACCATGCCGGTGTCAGAGACCGTGTCACCTCAACAGAGGCATATTGAGTCAGTACACTTGACACGGGCTGCGACATGGCCCGTGACACGGGCAGAATGACCGTGTCGCGTGCGAAAACAGTTTTTTAATTCTTGCCTATTTTGATGAGGAGAAGGCTTTTGGACACAAAAAGATGCATATTTAACCTATTATTGAAGGGAAAAACGAGATGACACATTAGAGGAGCCCTAGAACACACAAGAGAAGCAATTGGGAAGCAAAAGAAGATCAACCACAAAGGGATCAAGAAGATTGAAAGATCGACGAGATTCCTAGTTTTTATTTATTCTTTCCTTTTGAACTTTTATTGATCATGTTGATTTCTAATATGTTTATATAGTTGAATTCGAACATGAGTGGCTAGTTTATTTGATTCTAAGACTTGGTAGTAGATTAATATGTTGGGATTTTGGGTGATTTATTATAATTGATTGTTTTCTTTTGAACCCTATTCAAATATTTTGTTCTTATTTCATGTTTAGCAATTGGCCAATGTTTTTTACATGTTTGACAATATTGTTCATAATTTGAGTGATGAGTTCAATATTAGGTCTTTAATATTTGACACGATTTACTTGTTTGAATCGAGAGATTAGTAGGTTGTTGTGAGGATATTAGATCTTTTAATCTATTTGGAGTTGAATTGCATGTGGTGAGTGGAGACGCTAATATATGTGATTTAATCAACGGTTTTATCGATCTTGAGAGGGACGATAAGCTAAATTTGTGATCATCTTATAGGGAAGATAAAGAAAACATTGGTTGTGATATTTCTGAAGGAACCTAATTATTAATTGAAACCAAAGTCTTAGAATCTATCGTTCTCATACATCTTCTTATGTGTTTTCTAGCCAGTTTCTTCTTGTTGCTTTATTTCTCTTTAATTATATTTTCTTAATTTAGTTAATCCATCTCATATTTGGTCGTCTAAATAAAGTTGACATTATCATAATCTGGTACTTGATATATTAATTATTTGGTCTC